CGACAAAGGTAAAATAGTGCAAAAGTATGCTTCATGACAAAAAAGTCAAAACTGACACCAACGGTAAATTGTCATGTGGACTGAATACATCCAATTAGGTCTATTTTTTCTATCATACTGTGCTATCGCACCGAATTTTATAAGGAACATTACATCGAAATTGACATTTTTTTCGTTTTGTTCCATTATGAGACTAGCCTCGAATACCTTGTAATCTGACTTTATATATTGCTTTGCACTCTTTACACAACTTCTCCACAGCTCAGAAACATCTGTCTTCAATACCCCGTATTCCTCTAGTCGCTTCACTACATTGCATAGGTCGTCGCAAGCTTTGCCTCCTTCTGCGGCAATATAGTCGATTCCCTGCAACGACTTTCTTACGGTGGCGCTACAGGCTGCGAGGATAGCCAACATTGTTGTACGTCCAAATGGTTTGAACCCGAATTCGTCGCAGTATTTAGTGTACTGCTTAACAATACGTTCTGGAATCATACTTCGAATTACGTTTGGTGTCTCCAGTACTTCGCCAGTTGAAAGCTTTATGTACTTTTGCCCAAATGGAAGATCTTGTATGATGTGCGGACTTGTTATAAACGTCAAAAAATGATCAAGCTGGGTGGCCTCTACTCTCATTCGGGGACTATACCTTGATGGAAGTGGATTCCCTCGACCATAAACATGTTTGTGCAGTCGCGCAGTTTTCACTCGGTACTCAGTGATACCAGGTAGATACCTCTGAAGGCGTTCGATGGGGACTAGATCAGCCATTATGGACAAGACCTGTCTTTTAGTATCCCAGGCGGATGCATTTTTGTATGTTTCTGCCAAGGCTTCAAGATATTTGCGGTCGGCACTACCTTCATATCCAAGCTCTTTGTCGACAAGCATTGAAGACTGAAGTGCATCCCATAAATGAGCCGCATCACCAGGCGTGATAACATCTAAAGCCGCTACAATAACGTCTTTAGCCTTTTTCACGTGGTTGTTATGCGTGCGCGCACCTGCCTCGGCCCATCTCTTCCTTGGTCGAGTTAATTTTTGGACGTTACAAGTTTCAAGAAATCTGTTAAGGTGCTCTCTTCGTATATACTCGTTATTAGGCTCTCCCGTCACCGCGGTCGATGATTCCTCGTCACTGCCACTGCCACTGTCCTCGTCAGGAACGAATAAACTTTCATCTTTGAATGACATTTCCATTATTCCTGTATATAATTCCGTGAATTCATCGTTCACCGTCCCCTGAAATTTTGAGAAAAGGGTTGGTTTACTACTTTAAAAAAAAGAGACTCGCGGTAAAAACAAAAACAAAAACCAAAAAAAAATTATGAACAATAATTCATCAATAATGAATTCCCAAGTAAAAGAATCTTTTCGATGAAACTTGGTACACTGCAGTAACAAGTCAGTAAAATAATATAAGATGATAAAAACGTAGAGGCCTTTGGTGATAACAGCGAGCAGCACAAATCGTGATAAACAAGCACGATTTTTACTGTGTTGCCTGGGATATTCAACCTCGTCCCCAGGGCTTTTCCCTCAAAAAATGGGTGGGGCCACCCATTTTTTTGAGGGAAAAGCCCTGGGGACGAGGTTGTGGGATATTATATCATTCATCAGGGACTAGAAAAGATAAGTGAGCGAGGACTGGGCCGAGTTTACGTGTAAGGCATGCACGAAAAGGCGGAAAAAGCAATGGAAATTCTATTAACGTTCTTCTCGATCGACTTTTTTTAAATAATGTTTCTGCATAAACTTTTTCTTTCTCTCTTTCACGGTGGCCATTACCTGTTATGTGCAGTAATCATGAGCGGATTCAATGTGAAAAAATCAGTCCGTGCTATAACCAGAACTGGATATACATGTATCGGGTTTCTTGAAATCTGAACGTTGTTTTTTAAATTTTCTCTTGGTATTGATAAGTAACTATTTTCGTGTTCTAAGAATTTTACCACTTGAAAATGAAGGATAAATCCTAACCTCATCCATTTCAGTGGCTTCCGGACTGTTCATTATGGGTACAGCTGCCACTGCTGCCGATTGTCCTTCACTGCTTTCATTGATTTCGTCGAGTCTTTTGCGACATTGTGTACAAATCGCTAAGAAAGAAAAATCACTTTTTAGCTCATCCAACTGAAGCCTCAAAAGAATATACACAGAACTTTATTAGGGAAATATAGTCCGCGAAACTTACATCCTCAGCGGCTTTTTGCCAGTAGGCCTAATGATAAGCCTTTTAATTATAAACAAACTATTTTTTAAATATCGAACTAAATATATAAAGCAACCTAACAAGTATTCTAAGTGAATAAATGGTCTAAACCTTAAAAAATTAGAGGCGTCAGGTTCAAAAGGGGAAAATGGACAGGGTGTGGCCGGCACTATTTCCACTTTCAACTAACTTACTTGAGCCAACAGGGATGACGATTTTGCAGGCCATGTAGAGGCGGTGAGACTGTATCAGTGTAATCCCTCGCTCGCCCTTCACATTGGCTTTTCTGTGAAAAGCCCATGAACTTGGAGAAGAACATAATTTTCGGTTGCTTCGCCATCTAAGACCAAATGCATCGCGGTGTCTTGGGCAAATAGAGAGATTAAAATATTGCTCTTGTTCCTCAAAGATACCTATGATTAGGCACATTTTTGTTACATAAGTTGAATAAAATAACTGTTTCATTCGTGCTACAGGTGAAACTCGAATAGAATTTGATTTACCTGCACGCGCCAACAGAAGCGTCGCCTCCGAACATAGTGTACCATCTGAAACGCCGCACGTCTTGAGGTGGCCTTTGATGTCCTTAGAGCATTCAGAAATTCTTACACACAAATCACCACTTGGAAGTACTAAGCTTGCTCCACAATCACCTCCGACATACTTAGAAAATTCACATGAAGCCATTTTGGCGAGTGGAGCGCTCCAGGCGACACAGTATATAAAAACTGAGTACTGAAAACTCCCTCAACTAATCAACCTCTTTCTTTCGTCTTATTTAAGTGTTCCTGCATATTAACGTTATCAAATAAAACTAACAAAATTCCAAGGCAGTACTTTTTTGCGTCTGGTTACAGGGGAAAATTGTGAGTCAGGCTACTGACACCTGTCAAATAATTGATTACTAGTCTGAACTGCTCTCGCTTCGCTAATTTGATAAATAAATACAAAACTATTTAATGCAGGCCTGTCAAAAGAGTTGCAAAAGTATTGCGGTCTAATAGCCTGGCTTTTACTTTATTAAAATTAAAATCATCGTATCCATCCATAACACCATTTATATTCGGTCTTAACTTCAGAGTGGCCTGTGGCTTTCCTCCAGCGTACATGTACATGTAGGCGGCACGTGATATGAACGATAAAACGTCCAAACAGTGACATGATTCGGTTCCTTCTGAAAGACGTACGGCATTCCAGAAATCAATTCCCCTATAAAAGGCCACATAGACTCGCAGACTTAAAACTTTCAGGTGAGTAATTGTCACCTGATAACGTTTATTTATGCAACTTCTGATTTGCCGGCATGCTAGCTTCAGCCTGTTATCGAATTTCAATCAAGCGCCAGAAAGCGAAGAAGACAAAAATTGTTTCTTGTGTCTTGTAATTTTTTGCTACATCGAAGATTTTATAACTTACACCTTTCGTATTTTAGCACAGCTTCTCATCTACAGGTATTTCGGATGGATATTGCTAAAAAAAAAAAGATAACAAAATGTTTGCCGCCTACCATAATTCGCAGTTGCTTTACTCGCGTCAGAGGTCAAATTTTAAGTGTAGTATTTGCATTTTACTCTGCTTTGTCAAAGCTCGTGATTTCATTTACCCAAAAATTTTGTTTCGCCAATTTGAAGAAAAAAGAATGCTCTTTCAGACTAAGCAAGCCTTGTTGGTTAAAGTTATGTACCAATACGCTTTTTTTGCTCTGGAAAATGTGCTAAATTTTGACCCGTTTGAAAAGCGATTTTGAGTCAACAACTTTGAAGATTTGTTAAAAAATCTATTATTGACTAAATCGCGATTTTATTAGTTCCAGTTATAGAGGAAAAGAAATACAGATATGACAGGCAGTTATATTTTAATGACAATCTTTATTTTTAAATATACGAGCCACTGAAACTGGCTCTAATTTTTGCATAATTTTAGCCCATTTTAGTCCTCGGGAAGAAAAAATTCGTTAAAAAAATACCGTTCAATCGATCGAACTTAAACCAACGATTTTGTAACTAGGGCCCACAGGGCTTCATTCTTGCTGAGTTTGAGGGAGGTCATTTTTTGACTATTTCCACTTGTAGTTGATAGTTTAATACGCGGAGTCGCTCTTAAGTCGGTACAATATATGTCCCCATACATCAAGTACCTACCAAGCAACGCAGTCACCACTTAACTACCTAAGAGGAAGTCACTTCAGGTCACTTGAAGGGATAGACGAGAGGGCCCTTCCTCGATCCTGAGACTGGGACCAAGTTATACGATCGCCGACAATTTTTCCGAACGGATCTTCGTACGAACAATAGACCTTGTCACGGTTTTCGACGCCATCTTGACGAGTAGGCAAACGCGTGAGAAATTACAGTGTTTGTATGAGAATCTAATGTCGAATAATTTCCGTAGAACGGTTGTTCTGAAAAAAATGTGATTTGTAAACTAAAGCTTCACTCCTAAGGATTCTCCTGAAAACGTTTCAGGGCGTTACATGCACTAGAAGACCTAGAACCACTTTGTAAAATTTTCTTTACATTTGTCTGTAAGAAAGTCGCGGGAAAATTACAGACAAATATATGGAAAATCTAAAGCAAGCCTCTGGAGAAATTTAAGCACAGGTACGCCCCCAAAATCTTTTAGGACAATCTTTTGCTTTGTTCCTTTAGTTTACAATTGATATTTTTTTCAGAACAGCCGTTTTACGGAAATTATTCCACATTAGATTCTCATACAAACACTGTAATTTCTCACGCGTTTGCCTACTCATCAAAATGGCGTCGAAAACCGTGACAAGGTCTATTAAATCATGAGCTCTTTTGATATGCAGTATGTGTGCAGAGGCTACAATTATCTCTTCCCTGGAGTTGAATTATGGTGAGTTTTAAAACGTTGCTTGGTCGTTTGCAGTTCTACTGAATTCGTAGAAAATTCAATTCATAGTAATTGCTGATTAAGCTTTGCAATTAATTGACAATGGGCCCTGTGATCTATGTTCACGTCACATAGATGAAAGGTACCTCCACTTTCAACGTTTTTCCTTTTGTTTAAAAATATGATAACAATAATAAAGAAGACATCAAGCTGTTGTTGCAGGATAAGAGATTGTTAAGAGAATTCCTATTCAGAGATCACAAGGCCCATACAATGGTTTATAATACTTAATTATTATTTTTAAGCTCATTCTTATTTATTTTTGCCAGTGTTGGCCGGGTCTCCGCTTCTTTGACAACATTACCTGTTATTCCAATCTTATGCCACTTCACCATACTAAGTGACTACCAAGAGAATCATTGTGCAAATTCTTTATTGCAATGTACAATCCCAGTTTGAAATGGACTATTGCATAATTGATATCAGCACTCCCGCTTGGTTAAGGAAGTGAGCAAAGATCAATGGAATTCTCTAGGGGTATGCTGAAATAGTTTTGGAAATCCTTGGGGAATAGTCTTAAACATTGGAGAGTTATTCAGGGTATTAAACAAAGAATTCATGGAATTTTATTAGGAAAAAAAAGTACTGTTCAATAAGTTCCTCAGGGGTAAATTCATATCTTAAGGAAGTCTCCCGGGTGAATGCAGTCTAATAGAATTCCTCAGGAGTAAGGAAGTTTATTATATGTTGTCAACTGGGAAGAGGGTGTGGCTATTAAATGTGATAGCCCAATTTTTTTCTGCCAGTGAAGGAGGACAAAGCACACAATGACCGCACTCAACAGCATGCAAGGACTGGACAAAGCAAACAAGATGTGATTTTATTTAGTTGGATAGTAAACCTTTTATTCAATGGTTTACATTGTAAAAGTATAATGGACATGGGTGTTTTGCTCATTGTTCGCCTATACATGAAACCATCCAACACATGATTGATAGATTTCACATACAAAAGTTATTCAAAATAACTAAAAATCACGAATCACCAGTGCCACTAACAAAAGGAGGGATACAACAATCTGTTAGTATGCCAAGTTGTGATGGTTTCTTTTTGCATTACCTTGTATTAATTTTGTTTTTTCTGGCTTGACTGTTCATTAGCGACAGGCATGTGACTCATTGTTTGTGATAAATAAACAATTTTTTTCCTCTGAAAGGATTCATCAAAGAGAAGAAATTCTCCTAAGGCTTAAAATTCACATCCAATTTCTTCCTTAGATCCTTGGAAGTTATAAAAATTGGCAATTTTTCCATCTCTTTGAGTTAATTTTTTTTTTTGCGTAACCGCTGAGAAAAAAAATTCTGTCTCTGCTGTTTATTGAACTGATCAAACCAGAGAAAGAAGCTTTCAATGTATGTCAAGTTTTAAATTTACACAATATTTCCAGTACAGCCACAATAACCTAATCAATACTTTGTTACAGGTGTAATTATTATTTTATATTAATGTATTAAATATAAGGTTTCTTGAAAGAATTGCTTCATCTACTGTAAAAAGGGTAAAGGTTTTTGCTCACAACAGGAAGACTTGTTTTGATATCACATGAGTTTAAGTGTTTTTGTTTTTCTGGTTGCATTCAAAGCACAACCATTTTGTTGTTGGATGGAATGCAGATTCAGGGATATTAGCACAATCTGGATGGCACCACTCACAGCATCCACAACACTTGACATAAGCAGCGTTGTTGTTAGGCAATCGGCATGTGCAGTAAATACGTACATTTTTGCCTACCACAGGATGAACAAGCTCAACTGTATCATCAGTTGGTGGGAACTTGGTCTTCCTTGAAGACTCCAGGCAATCAACAAGGTGCTGGCGCATGGCTCTCTGGTAAAATCTCATGGTGGTGGGGTTACCACCATGGCATAGAGTGGTGGCAAAGGCTATAGCAAAGAGTGCACAGTCATTGTAGCCCTTCTGCTTTTGCACTTTCTGATTCCTAATTTTAACTATGTTGCCTTTGTAGTGCAACATTCTGCATGCATGTTCTATTGTTTTCCTGGCAGGGCTTCCATACAGACTATCATATAATTTGACTTCCCCAGTGGGACAGTAGCCTCCCTCTTAATTCAATATTTCATTGATGACCCCCCTACCCCCCCCCCCCCCCCCCCCTCCTCCCTCTAACTAATATTACTAAAATAACTCCCTATAATCCACAAACTAAATAATTTTCTATTAATTTTATCATATAACATACAAAACATATACCCACTATTCTACCATGATCACCAAACAAAAAACCCACACTA